GCTGGGTGGCTCAGTTGGTTAGAGCCCATGCTTTGAACAACAATGTAGCTGTTAGATTCCCACATAGGCCAGTGAGCTGCTCACTCTGCAACTAGATTGAAGACAATGACTTGAGCTGAGCTGCTGCTGAGCTGCCAGTGGGTGGCCGAATGGCTCAGTTGGTTAGAGTGCACGCTCTTAACAACAACATTGCCGGTTCAATTCCTTCATGGGATGGTGGGCTGCACCCCCACACACAACTAGATTGAAAATGTCAACAGGACTTGGAGCTGAGCTGCACCCTCCACAACTAGATTGAAGGACAATGACTTGACTTGGAGCTAATGGGTCCTGGAAAAAACACAGTTCCCCAATAGTTTAAAAAACACAATGATAAGGAAAATATATTTTCATTTTTGGAAAAAAAGAACCACGTATACGTGGCCCCGAGCAGCTCGTGTTCTTCAAGGGTCAGCTGTCTCCTTACAGAATGCCTCTCAGTGAGTGAGAAACAGATGAATAAACCCCTAGAAAATGGAGTGAAGATTTGAACAGATGCTTCACAGAAAACATAAAAATGCTTATGCCAGAAAACCATCCTGCAAACAGAGTGAACAGGCCACAGCTTGGAAGGTCCACTCAAAGGATGCAGCTCAAAGATGGACTCTGAGTGACAGAAGCCAGTTACGACAGCAGGTCCAGTGAATAAAATACGGTGCGAAAACCAGGGAAACAGCACAATACCGTACAGACGCTCTGGCTGGTGGGAAACTATAAAGCAAAGCAAGACAGTAACAAGTGCAGAATTCAAGAGCGTGGCCACCTCTGTCAGGGCCACCATGGTCTCTGACGTACTCCTGCGTTGTCACTTGCTGCCTGCTCTTCTGTGGGTCTGCTTCATCTCACAGGCATCCTAGGAGGCTTTGACAAGTCAGCTCCCCCCAGGACAGGCGGTGGCTGGCCTCCCCACACCCACATATGGGGTTTGCACACCCCTTGCTCACTGTGCACACACGGAGCCTGCGGGGTCTCTGGCCCACAGGGGTGATCAGCGGGCATTTGTTGAATGACTGCATGAGCACATGAAGAAAGGCTTTCAACTGCCAGTGTTTCAGCAACAAGACACTGTGTCTTCCAATAGGGAGACTGAGGCAGAGACAGCCAAGGTGGAGCGAACGTTCCCACCCTGGGAGGGAGGTCTGGATCTTGTGGGGGCAGGGAGACTCTAGGACCCCTCTCCCAAGGGCCTCTCCCCCACGCCCTTACAGCTGAGTTCCTGCCTGGGGCCAGGGCCAAGCACATCTGGAGCCCCGCCCCAGGGGGGCTGCCCCACCCAGTAGGCTCCCGCCAGGGCTGGCCTCCCATCTCTCGACCCCCCCCCCCAGTCCGCCTTCCAGAGCCCTGCTCCCGAAGGACATCTCCACGCCAAGGGGCGTTCCTGCGCTGGTTCTCGGGAGAGAAGTCACTTCCAGCCTTGTCCTGGCGGTTCCCTGCTCCCTCCCTCCTTCCCGTCTTTTCCCAGGCTGATCTGGGCCCTCGGCCAGGAGCCCAGCTCTCCCGAGGACAGGGTCCAGGCCCCATCCTCAGGCCTGGCAGGGCTCCATCCAACAACAGTCCAGGACATCGGGGAGCTCTGCTAGGCCCTAGTGGGGCTAGTGGGGGTTCTGGGAGGCCAGTTCAACAAGGGGGCAGGCCTGCAGCACGCCCGCCTTTCATGCTCTTTCATGCATTGGGCTCCATCTGGGCCGCCTTTGTCTCTCCCTTTTCAACTTAATCTGCAGGCCTCTCCCTTCTCTGGGCTTTCTGGGGTGGAAGATAGGGCCTGCGGGGGGAGGGGGAGAAGGGGAGGAGTGGTGGCGGGAAACTGGGGCCTGGAGCCTGGTGCGGCCCAGCCAGCGTGGCTTTGAAGAGGCTGAGCGACCTCCCAGGGTTCCCACCCTTCCCGCTGGGCCCTCAACTGGAAGAAAGGCTCCTTTGCTGGGCCTGTGACACCAGACCCTCAGCCCGGGCAGCGATCCCAGCCCCATTGTCCCTGCCAGTTCCAACCAACCAGGGTGTTGCCCAGACCCGCCCCCATCAAATGCTGCTCTTTGGGCCCCATCTCCCCAGCCGCATTGCTGGCACACCCAGGTGGGCTTGCCACATGGCTCCCTGTAGCTGTCCCACCAGGTTCTTGCTGCTGGAATTGCCATTCTGCCAGGTCATGAAGTGGGGGTGGCCACTGGTCAGGGCAAGGGGTGATGCTTGGCCAAGCTGGCACGCAGGGCACGTGGGGGAAGGAGGCAGCATAGCAACCGGACATTTTGTGGGGTGGAGGGGCACAGCTGGAGTCTGGAGCCGGCTGACCACTCGCCCATCCCAGCCAGCATCCAGGGACCGGTGTGATGACAAGCCTGGCCTGGGGGACAGTCTCCCTCATCTCCAGGATGAGGTCTTGTGTGCAGAGGACCCTCCTCCTGTTCCCCTCCTTGGGAAGCTTCTGACCCCCCACCGCAGCAAAGGAGGCAGCAGGGAAGGCCCAGGCCCTGAGCCAAGAGGCCCTCTTGTTTCTGGGCTTGGTGTGACTGTGGCCATGCTGCCCCTCTCTGCCTGTCACCTTGGCACTGAGGCTGTGTGACACAGGTCTGACTTCAATGCTGCTTGGCTGCTCAGCTTCAAACTCCCAGCACCTCAAGGGCGGGCCCGGCCTGGGCCAGCTGCGTCTGGGGCCTGACCTGTGGGGTACTCTGCCATGTAGCCCAGGGCCTGGTCAGCACGGCAGGCGGACTGGCCCTTTCTTGCAGGGAAGGTATGCCCGGATACCACGTTGTTCCTGTAGTTGGCAGTGCCTCCTGTCCTCAGGAGCGGGCAGGAGCAGCAGTGCTCTCCAGCCGCATGACACTCTGAACGAGCCTGCCCCAGAGCCAGCCCAGCCCAGCCCAGGCCAGCCCCATGCCAGACCTCCTGCCGCCTTCCCCAAAGCCACGCCACGACCCCTCCAGGAGAAGCCTGGGGGTTCTCTAGGTCCTGCCCTAGTGGAACCCCCAGTGTCCAGACGCTAGTAGGCCATCCCTTTGGGTCACAGGGACAGGTCAGAGGGGATGAGTGTTGGGGGTGAGTGGACAGGAAGGAGGAGAGTAGGCAATTGTCTTAGGGTGCCGGAGCCGCGACCTGGGAGCTGGGAAGGCAGAGTGACTCAGGGCCGCGACCTGGGAGGGCAGAATGACTCATCGCAGTATCTCTGTCACCTGCGATCGCTGGAGCCTGCCCTGGAGGGCGGTGGGCGGGGCGGCCCGCCAGTGGGCGGGGCCAGCAGTGGCCGGTGCCGGTCTGGGCCCCGCCCCGGGCGCCTATCCCGCGGCCGGGACCTCGGCCTCCCGGCTCCCCGCCACCCCTCCGTCAGCACCTCGTCTGTCCGCGCGCCACCGATGGCCAGGAACGTGTTGCTGCTGCTGCCGCCGTTGCTGCTGGCCGCGGCGGGCCTCACCGGCCTCCTGCTGCTGTGTGTCTCCACCCGCGACGTCCGGGAGCCGCCCACGCTCAAGGTGCATGCTCGGGCACCCAGCGCGTTCCGGGGAGCAGCGGCCCCGGGCCGGGGAGCCGGCGGGGAGGCTCCGAACCCGCGCAGGGCCAGGCTGTGCCCGAGTGGCTGCCCAAGACCCCCACACGCGCTCCGCTCCCAGCTGGGCGAGGTGGAGTCCCGGCCCGCGTGCTGGGCACCCAGCCGGCAGGGTGGAGTCCCGGCCACATGCGTTCCTCTCCCGTCCCTGTCTACCGGCGCTTCCGGAGCGACGCTGGGCTGGAGGCAGAAGTCCCGGGAACTCCTCCGCTCGCAGAGCCTGTCACGGGTGCGGCCGAGGGGTTGTCTCTCAGCACTGGCTGGACCCGCGCGGTCCCCAGCGGCTCATTGGCTCGGGTTCAAACCAGACAGGATCCAGGGCCCAGGGGGCCCTCTCCACCTCCCTGTGGTCCAGACAGTACAGGCGCTGCCCTTGAGGGAGAACTGGCCTGGTGGCTAGGAGGTGGGGGTTGGGGGACAGCGCCAGGGGGTGCTCAAGGGGTTGGGGTGGGCTATGCCAGGCCCCACCTCCAGGAGTCCAGTTGGGTCCCTTAACCATTTATTGAACTTGCAGGGGTGGGGGGAGGCTTGGTGTGTGTGCCTGGGTGCTCTAAGCCCCAGGAGCCCAGGATGGGAGGTTGCAGAGATGGGTGCTCTGCAGTCAAGGGCGACCACCAGGCAAGGTGGATGGATTGGCTTTGATGCTGAAGTTCCCTGGTGGGGGGAGGACTGGAGTGGCCCCTCTCCAGGGGCTCATGAGGGCTTGCTGTCCAGCATGGCTCTCCTTGTTAGAATCCAGGCCCTCGGTGGCTGGAAAATGGCACTTGCAAACTGGGTGCTGATCTCACCCAACCTGCAAGGAAGGCCTGCCTGGCTGGCGCCCTCCAGTTCTGCAGGACAGAGCACTCTGAGGCCCAGGGTGGGGGTGTCTTCAGGCAGGGTCAACACGGACCAGAGGTCCACATTCAGCCTCTCCCAAGGTCCTGACTTCCACATCCTCAGGTTGGGCTGAGGTCAGAGAGACTGGGATGGGGTAGACGGAAGATCTGGCCCGAGAGGATTCCTGCAGCTGGACTCCACTCCCAGAGCCTGGGGACCTTACATCCCCAGGACAGGGTTCCCAGGGTGATCCTGGGATCCTCTGACCCTGACACAGCCCCTCAGTTGTCCTTGCCAGGAAGGCTCCTGCCATCAACCCCTGTCCCCATTCTCCCCCCAACCAAGCTGTGTCACTGTGGCTGTCCCTAGTCTTCTCTGAGCCTCAGAACTTCCAACCTCGTCACAGGGTGGGATGCAGGGGGGGGAGGGGCAAAGGGCATGGCCTTCACTCTCCCACCCCCACCCCCAGTATGGCATCGTCCTGGACGCTGGCTCTTCCCACACGTCCATGTTCATCTACAAGTGGCCGGCGGACAAGGAGAACGACACTGGCATTGTGGGCCAGCACAGCTCCTGTCACGTGCGCGGTGAGGGTCCCCCAAGCACTAGGTGCTCCTTGGCCTGGGTACACACTCACTATAGGGCTTCAGGGGTCCTCTGCAGCCTGCGGCTCTATAGGCCAAGCATTCAGGCCCCTCCGCTTGCTGCCCAGTGGGGTCTGCTCCAAGCAGGAGCTGCAGGAGCTCCCAAAAGGGAGGCTGGGCCAGGCCTCAGCAGGGCTGTAGGCACTTCCATTCTAGAAGGGAAGCCCCAGGTATGGGTTGGGAGGTTTGGGTCTTGCTTGGCCCAACTCTACACCCCAGACAGAGCAGGAGGCTCCTGCCGTCCACCCCTGTCCTCATTCTCCCCCCAACCAAGTTGTGTCACTGTGGCTGTCCTTAGCCTTCTCTGAGCCTCCGAACTTGGAGGAGCTGGTAGACACACCCAGGCAGGCCCCCTGGGAGGCTAAGCCAGGTTGACAATGCCCAGTGCTTTGTCCTGGCACCTGTGCACACACCCACTACGCAGGCAGCAGCCACAGAGACTCTGGGTGGCACGTGGGTGGGCCCCTTTGTCTATTACTGAACTGGGTGTCTCTGAGGGGTCAAGCTGGGAAGGTGTGTCTAAGCTGCCACCTGGTTTAGGAGCCCAAGCCCCTCAGCCCTACTGGTCTGTGGTCTGCCTAGGGGCTGCCCACAGGCTTGGGTCCACCTCGCTGCCTCCCTCTAGGTAGTGGCATCTCCAGCTATGCAGACAACCCTTCCGGGGCTGGCCAGAGTCTTGCTGAATGCCTGGACCAGGCACTCCGGGATGTGCCCAAGAACAGACACGTGGGCACGCCCCTCTACCTGGGAGCCACCGCAGGCATGCGCCTGCTCAAGTGAGTGTGCCCATCTCCTAACCTTGCTGGCCCTGGGTCCCCACAGCAGCCTCAGCACAGGGCGGGCCCCATACCCATCAGCAGCAAGCAGCCCTGGGCCGGGACCGTCCTGGCTGGAAGAGCAGAACCATTTACCTGAGCACCAGGACCATGGCCACCTGGGAAGAGCCCCTCAAAGTCTACCCTGTATTGCAGCCTCACCAGTCCAGAGGCCTCGGCCAGCGTGCTTGCAGCTGTGACACGGAAGCTGAGCCAATACCCCTTTGACTTCCGTGGTGCCCGCATCCTCTCAGGCCAGGAAGAGGGGGTGTTTGGCTGGGTGACTGCCAACTACCTGCTGGAGAACTTCATCAAGGTGGGCCTCCTGGCCAGCCCCGTGAACCAGGGGACATGGGCACCCACCTGCGTCTCACCCCAACTTCCACTCCTCACAGTATGACTGGGCAGGCCGGTGGTTCCGGCCAAGGAAGGGGACCCTGGGGGCCATGGACCTGGGGGGCGCCTCCACACAGATCACCTTCGAGACAGCCAGTCCCGCTGAGGATCCATCCAATGAGGTCCAGCTGAGGCTCTACGGCCAGCACTACCGCGTCTACACCCACAGCTTCCTCTGCTACGGCCGTGACCAGGTCCTCCAGAGGCTGCTGGCCAGTGTACTGCAGGTGCCCCAGCACCCCCAGCCCACCCGTACCACCGTGCCCCTGGAGGGAGGGGGCAAGAAGGGATTGGGCCAAAGGCACAGAGCAGAGCCTGGACAGCAGGCAGCCAGACTGAAGAGGGCTTCTCCAGGCAGCAGGAACCAAAGCTGGCTTTAATCAGCTGGAAGGACAGGTGGGGAGGGTTCCCGCATGGGCTAAGGCTCAGTGGCTGGGGGCAGGACTGGTGAGGGCCAGGCTGGGGAGAAAGGGGGCCCAGGGGCAGATCTCAGAGCGCCTAGGGTGCCTGGCCCAGCAGGCAACGGGGAGCCATGGGTTGCTCCTGAGCACAGAAGCGACGTCATCAAGTGGGACTTGTGGGAGATTCGTCAGGCTGGTGCTCTGGGAAGGCCCTCCTAGGGTCCTGGGGTGGGGATGGTGCAGCCAACAGCCTCACTGTTGCTTCAGGCCCACAAGCAGACCCACAGCTCCCACCCCTGCTGGCCAAAGGGCTATTCCACCCAAGTGGCGCTCCGAGACGTGTTTGAGTCACCATGCACCGCAGGCCAGAGGCCCCAGACCTTCCACAGCAGCGACAGGGTCCACCTGTCGGGGAGCAGCAACCCTGCCCTCTGCCGCAGTCTCGTCTTGGGGCTCTTCAACATCTCCTCCTGCCGCTTCTCCCGGTGCTCCTTCAACGGCGTCTTCCAGCCCCCTGTGGCTGGGAACTTCATTGTGAGTCCAGGGCAGGGTGGAGGGCTGTTGCCCTGCAGCGCCTAGGGTCTGGACACAGCGTGACCGTCCCCCCTGCAGGGCTTCTCTGCTTTCTTCTACACCGTGGACTTCCTGAGGACTGTGATGGGGCTGCCTGTGACAACCATAGAGCAGCTGGAGGCCGCCGTGGTCACCCTTTGCAACCAGGCATGGAGTGAGGTGAGGCCTGCTCCCCTCCTCCAGGCACTTCGCAGGAGGGCTCAGCCAGCTGCTCATGCCTCCCCGTCACTGGTAGAAGGGACCTGGGCCTCTCAGAGTGCCCACTGTAGTGGGGGGGACACCAAGAGTCAGACTCAAAAAGTGGCTGGGCTGCAGCAGAGAGGCTGGGAGACAGACCAGATGGGGCTGCAGAAGCCTTCCTGAGGCCTGGCCCTAGAACCAAGACCTAGAGGGCAGCGGAATGGCCAGTGCAAAGCCTCTGTGACTGTGGGGAGCAGGTAGCAGACAGGTGGGGAGGGTGGAGAAGTAGAAGGACTCGGGACCTACCAGGTTGAATTGGGGGGCGGAGGGGGGGGAGTGAGGACTTAGTGACAAGTTCCAGGATTCTAGGAGGCACTGGTGCCAAGTAAAGGCAGATGCAGGATTTATGGCCTATGGAGAGTGAGGTGCCCACCAGAGATTCTGGGAGAAACACACGGTCTGTGGGCTCTGGGTAGTGACAGAGGCCCCTCCCTGTTCTGTCTGTGTCTAGTGGTAGGTGGACGTGGAGGTGGGGGCAGGAGGCAAGCCCAGCGGTTCAAGTTCAAACCTGGAGCTTCCCCTGTTCCCTGACCGGGCGCCCAGGCTGCTGCAGCCCTCCGTTCCCCGGGTGGCCATCCCTGCTGGCCCCTCCAGCTCCACCTCCCAGGCACAGGCGCTTGCTGCCATCCTAGAGGAACAGCCCTGCCTAGCGGTGGCCCCTCGGCCTCCGTCCTTCTACCCCGCATTGCCCGTGTGTTTGTGTGTGTTTGTGTGTGTGTGGGGGGCAGCACACCACTGGCCACCCCTCCCAGCTGGGCCGAGACCCCACGGTAGCCGCAGGCCCAACATTCTCCCACCTGCGTCCCAGCTGCAGGCTCGGGCGCCGGATCAGGGAGACCGCCTGCCCCACTACTGCGCCGGGGCCATGTTCGTGCAGCAGCTGCTGAGCCGGGGCTACGGTTTCGACCAGCGCACCTTTGGCGGGGTGACCTTTCAGAAGAAGGTGGGAGCAGGCTGGTGGGCGGGTGCGGAGAGGGGCGGGGCCCGGCGCGGAGGGGCGGGGCCGCCCCGGGTTGCGCGGAGGCTGAGGCCGCGCCCCTCTCCCGCAGGCCGGGGACACCGCGGTCGGCTGGGCGCTCGGTTACATGCTGAACCTGACCAACCTGATCCCCGCCGAGCCGTCGAGGCTGCTCAAGGGCACCGACTTCAGCTCTTGGGTCGTCCTCCTCCTGCTCTTCGCGGCCTTGCTCCTGGCCGCGCTTGTCCTGCTGCTGTGCCAGGCGCGCTCCACCAAGTCGCCGAGCGCCATCTAGGGACGGGCTTGGGGCAGCTACCCCAACCCCATATTCTCCCATCCCTCCCTCCACCAAACGTTCCTCAGCCTCTCTGTCCCTAATGCAGCCCCGAAACCGAGACCGGATTCTAGCGCCATGCCCCAAAGGGGGCCCAGGTGGGCGAAGGGAACCGAAAACAGCGGTTCCAGCCCCCTCCAACCTGGGCTCCGTCTCAAAGCCTCGTGCTCTTCCTCGTCCTACTGGGGCTGGGCGGTTCGGACACCCCTCAGTCCTCAGCCTGTGACTGCAGGGCTGGGTCTCCAGGAAGTGGAGCCTTTACTGTGATAATCAGGGCCCTCAGAGACGCCCACCACCATCCGGGTCTGTTTTAGGGGGCGGGCCGACGCCTACTTGTAGAATTTTGTAATAAAGAGTTTTTCCTAGAGTGGTAGCGACAATGTTCATGAAGTGGGGCGCCTTTTCCGTTGCCTGCCCCCCCTCCTCACAGCTGTGTCGCTCATGCAGGCCCACCCCCCTACCCAAAGGCAAACCTCGGCTCTCTTCCCTACTTCTGCTCTGGATCCAGACCTGGGGCGGCGCAGACCCCGTTTCCCTGCTCCGCCGACCTTCGTGGCCTGAGAGTCTCTGAGTCGCTTGAGTCGTCTCGAGCTGGCACAAGCCCTGCCGCAGCCCTAGGTCTGCATCAGTGACCTAGGCCAGCCTGGATGCTGGTCCTTGGCCTGGAGTGGGGGGAAGCCGAGGTCGTGGGCTCTGCGGGTGCTAGGGTCCAGTCAGGGCTGAAGATGAAGCGTGTGGGCGGTGTTTATATCAGGGCCAGGAGGGATGCCTGGGCCCCGTTGCTCTAGAGCCAAGCCTCGCCAGTGCACAGGGACAGCGCTAGTCTCCTGGCTGGGTGCTTTTCTACATCCCCAAGAGACATCAGCCAGCCCCCACCTGCTGCTCCTGCAGCGTCCCCCCTCCCCATGTACTGTTTTCTCCAGCGTGGGAAGGCGTGGTCTTGGCTGCATCTCCCATTGGCCCCAACCGTTCTGGTAAGTGAGCTCAGACACTACTTCTGTCCGGTCAGGGCCCTGTTGGGGAAGAGGATGGCAGTCCTTGTCCTGCTCACCACCACCTCTGCGAGTTTGCGAGTCACTTCACACACCTAAGGGCAGCCAGCCAATCTTCACCTGTTTAGGGACTCATCTTTGTTCTTTCAATGATCTGAGCCGGAGGGAGGTTTCCAGGTGGGATGGGGTGGATGTGCTCTCGGAAGGCAACAGGTGGAGTGTAATGGGGTGCACCATAGCTGCTTTGTTGTCGTGGGGCCCCAGGGAGCTAAAAGGCTGTCACCTGGGGACCGTGGACAGCTCCCAACTGGCTCTCATCAACAGCTCCAGGCTACTCTTGCCCCCTGGTGGCCTCCCTTGAAAGCGGCCAACTCACTCCAACCATGGTGGCCACCAATACCGGCTTAGTTCTGTGCGTGTGTTTGCTTTTACCGGTGTGTCTCTGAGTGCCCGGTGCGTCTTTGGGCACACCTGTGCGTCTCTGTGCACCTGTCCATCTGTGTGCGCCTGGTGTTCCTGTGTCCCTGGGTGCTCGCTCCTCCAGACCCGGGCAGGTCCTCTGCTCTAGCGGGGTGGGGGTGGGGTGGAAGTTAGCAGCCCCACAGGGAGGGGCAGGGGGAAGCGCCTCCTGGGGAAGCCGACTATCGGCCAGTCCCTAGCCGGATTTGTGGAGAACAGAGAAGGTTATCGGCGGCAGAGGCTGCAGAGGTTGCGGCACCCTGAGGCCCACAGGAAAGGGGGTCGGTCAGAACTGGAGAGAGGGGGAGGGGCACAAATAGAGGCGCCGTCCCGCCCCCGCAGGTGGAGCGCGCAGGCGCATTCCGCCTGCGCTCCCTCTAGCCTCGGCGCCTCCATCCCTGATCCTTTGCCGCAGCGTCAGCGCCAACGCCTCTCTTCCTCCTTCTCTTCCTCCTCCGCCTCCTCCGCCCCCTCCTCCTCCTCCTCCGCCTCCGCCGACGCGGCGCCGGGAGCCCGCGCCGAGCCCCGGGCCGCACGGTGCCATGCTGCCCTGGCGGCGGCGCTGAAGGATGGCGACGCCCGTCCCTCCGCCCTCCCCGCGGCACCTGCGGCTGCTGCGGTTGCTGCTCTCCGGCCTCGTTCTCGGCGCGGCCCTGCGCGGTGCCGCCGCCGGCCGCCCGGGTGAGCGAGAGCGCTGGGCGCAGGCCGCGGGGCGCCCCGGGCGGGGGTCGGGCTGCGCGTCGCCGCTGTCACCGTCTCCCGGGCCCGCAGGCCCCGCAGGCCCGGCCCGCCTCGCGCGGGGTGCGGTAAACATCCATCGGGCCGCCGAAGGCCTCCGCTAGATGGGTCTTCTCCCGGGTTCCTGGCGGCGACCCCGGAGTTCAGGCGCTTCTCTTTGTCTCAGTCCGTGAGCCCAGCTGTGTCCGTGTCTCTGGTGGGCTCTCTGCGTGGGCCCACGCCAACAGTCCGTCCTGTGCGCGTTTCTATGGTGCGGGCCTGGCCATGGGCGCCTGGCTACCGGTGTCTGTCCTGGGATCGGGGTCGCCGTGCTGGTCTGCCTACCCCCATGCCCCCAGTGGTGTTGGTCACGTGCCTTGCTTGGTTGCCATGGCTGGGTCTGAAGGTTCCCGGGGTACTCGACAGCTTGTCCCAGGCTTAGGGTCTCGCTCTGGCTTCAGCGGGGGCAGCAGATGCTTCCTGTCTCAAGCTTCCTCCCTTTCGCTCTTCCCTGGAGGATCCGGCCATTCTGCCTGTGCTAGGGGCTGAGGGGCACCTCCCAGGGTGGACTTCAGGCAGAGAGCTAGGAGCCTGGGATCCTCGGAGACCTGCCTTGCTTCCCAGATGGGCACCGACATTCCAGGCAGTGAAGGTCTGCAGGGACCTGGGCTCCCAGGAGGCAGAGCTGGGACACTCTGTGCCCACACATGCACTCAGTTCTCCTGGCAGCCCCACAGGGAGGTGCTGTTCTTAGTTCGTTTTACAGACGAGGAAACTGAGGCACAGAGAAGTTAAGTGACTGTACGTGGTGCTGCTGGGATGCTGACCCCGGCAGTGTGGTTCGTTATGTGTGGGTAGAGCAGGGCAGGTTTCCTCCTGGGCATAGCACCCCTAGATGGGAGGCTGGCATGGCTAGGAGAGGTGCCCAAGGAGGCCTGAAGGCCGGAGCTTGGCTGGCCAGGGATGGCAGAGGCTCCCTACTGAGAGCCTAGCTCCAGGGCCTGCAGGGTGGGGCCTCCCAAGGAAATGGACTGTAGCCACTGTGCTCAGCCCCTGGGGTGCACAGGTGCCAGGCCAGTTGTTCACTGGCTTTATGCTCACCCAGATGTGGGGTGGGGTGCCAGCCACTCGCCAGCTGCCACTGTTCTTGGAACCTCCTTCTGGACCCTGAGGCTGGAGTGGGGACTTGCCCAGGACTAAACAGGCAGCCATGTCTTCCTGAGCTGGGGGTGGAGGGTGGGAGTGTAGGGCGGCCCCTGGCACCCAGACCTTGGAGCCAGCTTTGGATCTCAGGCCGCTACCTGTGACCTGGGTGCACTCTGGGTTTTCAGCACCAGAGGCAGGGAGTGCCTGGCTTCCTAGGCACCCAGCTGGTGGGTGGAGTCCAGAAAGACCTGCTGGCATAGGCTTAATGTTTAACTAGCCCAAACCCCAGGCCTGGCTCACTGATACTGGTGCCTGCTGACCCAGGATGAGTACCTCTGCCCACCTGCCACAGGGACTGCTGGCACTTCCTGTAGGAGATGCCTACAGCCAGGATGCTGTGTCAGGTTATCACGGAAACCAAGCTAGGCCAGTCAAGGTCTGGAGAAGGACAGAGCTGGGCATTCTCTGGTCTTCCATGTCACCCTGGGCCCCAGTGGCCTTTCTGCAGTGTGTGTGTGTGTGTGTGTGTGTGTGTGTGTGTGTGTGTGTGTGGGGGGGCAGCACACCACTGACCACCCCTCCCAGCTGGGCCGAGACCCCACGGTAGCCGCAGGCCCAACATTCTCCCACCTGCGTCCCAGCTGCAGGCTCGGGCGCCGGATCAGGGAGACCGCCTGCCCCACTACTGCGCCGGGGCCATGTTCGTGCAGCAGCTGCTGAGCCGGGGCTACGGTTTCGACCAGCGCACCTTTGGCGGGGTGACCTTTCAGAAGAAGGTGGGAGCAGGCTGGTGGGCGGGTGCGGAGAGGGGCGGGGCCCGGCGCGGAGGGGCGGGGCCGCCCCGGGTTGCGCGGAGGCTGAGGCCGCGCCCCTCTCCCGCAGGCCGGGGACACCGCGGTCGGCTGGGCGCTCGGTTACATGCTGAACCTGACCAACCTGATCCCCGCCGAGCCGTCGAGGCTGCTCAAGGGCACCGACTTCAGCTCTTGGGTCGTCCTCCTCCTGCTCTTCGCGGCCTTGCTCCTGGCCGCGCTTGTCCTGCTGCTGTGCCAGGCGCGCTCCACCAAGTCGCCGAGCGCCATCTAGGGACGGGCTTGGGGCAGCTACCCCAACCCCATATTCTCCCATCCCTCCCTCCACCAAACGTTCCTCAGCCTCTCTGTCCCTAATGCAGCCCCGAAACCGAGACCGGATTCTAGCGCCATGCCCCAAAGGGGGCCCAGGTGGGCGAAGGGAACCGAAAACAGCGGTTCCAGCCCCCTCCAACCTGGGCTCCGTCTCAAAGCCTCGTGCTCTTCCTCGTCCTACTGGGGCTGGGCGGTTCGGACACCCCTCAGTCCTCAGCCTGTGACTGCAGGGCTGGGTCTCCAGGAAGTGGAGCCTTTACTGTGATAATCAGGGCCCTCAGAGACGCCCACCACCATCCGGGTCTGTTTTAGGGGGCGGGCCGACGCCTACTTGTAGAATTTTGTAATAAAGAGTTTTTCCTAGAGTGGTAGCGACAATGTTCATGAAGTGGGGCGCCTTTTCCGTTGCCTGCCCCGCCTCCTCACAGCTGTGTCGCTCATGCAGGCCCACCCCCCTACCCAAAGGCAAACCTCGGCTCTCTTCCCTACTTCTGCTCTGGGTCCAGACCTGGGGCGGCGCAGACCCCGTTTCCCTGCTCCGCCGACCTTCGTGGCCTGAGAGTCTCTGAGTCGCTTGAGTCGTCTCGAGCTGGCACAAGCCCTGCCGCAGCCCTAGGTCTGCATCAGTGACCTAGGCCAGCCTGGATGCTGGTCCTTGGCCTGGAGTGGGGGGAAGCCGAGGTCGTGGGCTCTGCGGGTGCTAGGGTCCAGTCAGGGCTGAAGATGAAGCGTGTGGGCGGTGTTTATATCAGGGCCAGGAGGGATGCCTGGGCCCCGTTGCTCTAGAGCCAAGCCTCGCCAGTGCACAGGGACAGCGCTAGTCTCCTGGCTGGGTGCTTTTCTACATCCCCAAGAGACATCAGCCAGCCCCCACCTGCTGCTCCTGCAGCGTCCCCCCTCCCCATGTACTGTTTTCTCCAGCGTGGGAAGGCGTGGTCTTGGCTGCATCTCCCATTGGCCCCAACCGTTCTGGTAAGTGAGCTCAGACACTACTTCTGTCCGGTCAGGGCCCTGTTGGGGAAGAGGATGGCAGTCCTTGTCCTGCTCACCACCACCTCNTTCTCTGGTCTTCCATGTCACCCTGGGCCCCAGTGGCCTTTCTGCAGTGTGTGTGTGTGTGTGTGTGTGTGTGTGTGTGTGTGTGTGTGTGTGTGTGTGTGTAGGGCTGGGCTGAGAGGAAGGGTCCCGGTCCTCCAGAGACACCCCCATCCTAGACTCCGCAAGTAAGATTGACTGGCCTGCTGGGTATCCTCCTGGATCTGCAGCTCACTGACTGGGACCAGTGTCCCAGGCCTCTGGACATTCCTTAGCTGTGAGGTAATTCACCTTCTGCAACCGAGGGGAAATTGAGGCAGGCAGGACCACTGTCCTCAACCCCCAGCATCAGGATAGGAGCCTTTGGCTGTGTGTATAGGACACCACAGTCTGAGCCCCAAATCAAGAACTGGGCCTCGCCAAAGTCCCAGGCGTTCCCCAGTCCTTGGCAGTGGTGGTTGTAGGAGTGACCCCAGCTTGGTCTCTAAATTCAAAGCAAGTGAGACTGGCCAGTTCCATCCCAGGTTTCCCTAACCCCAGCAGGCCCTCTGTGTCCTGGATACAAGCCGGAGGTTAGACATGGGGGAACAGACTTCCAGGCTGGGCACTTGCTGTCATGTCTTCCAGCTCTGCTCTCTAGGGCAGTAGGAAGGCATGTCAGGGTTTGGAAGGACAGCCATGATGTGTATGTGGGGGGGTGGGTAGCCAGCATTCTTTGCTGCTCCTGAGCCGGAGAGAGAAACCTAAGCCCCACCCTCTGGGGCTCTCAGTATAGACAGAGGCTTGTTTGGGGCATGCTGAGACCAGGGGTTGGACTTGGAGGGCTGCACGGCCCTGCCCAGGAGAGCTCGGTGCTGCCGGACAGTGAGGGTCAGTTTCCGTACAGAGGGCTGGCTCAGGCCTGGAGAGTGGACTCTGGGGAGTGGGTGGGGCAGGGGCGTTCCGATAAGTCTTTGGACTGTTTGTCTTCCTGGTTCTGATCGCGGGCGGTTGGGAGGAAGGGCCTGCCCAGAACAATGGTCAGAGCCGGGCCTGGCCAGCTCTGTGGGGGAGGGGCCGGGTGGCGGGGACAGGGCCGCCTCTGTGCAGGGCCGTGACCCCGCTCTGCCTCTGCTTCCTTCCCAGATGTGGCCGCCTGTCCCGGGAGCCTGGACTGTGCCCTGAAGAGGCGGGCACGGTGCCCTCCAGGTGCACAAGTCTGTGGGCCCTGCCTTCAGCCCTTCCAGGAGGACCACCAAGGGCTCTGTGTGCCCAGGATGCGCCATCCTCCGGGTACATACGAGAGGGCAGGAGCACCTTCCTCCCTTTCCCGCTGATACATTTGACCCCCAGCCTCAGCTCTCAGGTCCTCTGAGCTCTGTGGGATGCGAGGGACACTGATGTCACTCTCCAGGTGGCCTGGTGATCCTTTCCAGATGGCATCAGCCCAGAGCCTGGTGGTGGGCTGAGGCCCAGGGCAAGGGATGTCGGGAGTGAAATACTGGGGTGATCCTGGAAGAGGCAGGGTCAGAGTTCCCCAGGCCTGGGTCCCCGAAGCGTCTGCCCCAAACCCCTCAGGCACCTACTGCCCCACCCCCTGGGCTGTCCCTGTTCTTTGCCCAGTGTGCCCTCTGTCTCCGTTGCTCACTCGTCCACTTCATGTGCATCTGGGGTGCCCCACCCGCTGATCTGAGCCCAGACACTGAGTGACTTCAGGTGTCATGAGTGGGGCATTTCGGAGGGCTGCTGGGCTGCTGGGAGTCCAGCCCCGTGGGCGGTGCTTCCTGGAGAAGCACGGTCCTGGCAGTGAGTGGGGCGGACACGGAGAAGCGCAGGCCTGCTGCAGAAGCAGCGCTCAGCTCTCTGTGCGGTGTGTGGGTGTTCTCCTGGCGCCTGTCTGGCCTGTGGAGCTCACTGTAGGGACAAGGGGGGAACCAGCCACTAGCCCCACCGGGATAGCTGCCCTCCCTCCTCATGACTTGGTGGGGGGGGTGGCAAAATGGGGCATCTCCCCACTGCCCCCTTGGCAGTGAAGGTGATGGGGTGGGGTGATGTGTTGTCCCAATGCTCTGCCCACCCCTTTGTTGGTAACAGTGGGGAAAGGGCAGCCTTGCCCTTCTGGCCTTTGAATGTCCTCTAGCACCTCCACCCCTTGGCGTCACCCCCACTTTTCCTGGGAATGCTGCTGCTCTCACTGAGCGCCCTCATTTGTCACCATGGCAACCCAGGGTAGCCAGGGGCTGCAGGCTGGTACCTGGTCCTCAGGCCACCAGTGCCTGGGAGGAGCCTGGAGGAGGAGGGGGGCCTAGGCCCAGGGACTGGCTTCAGGATGGGTCCGTCTGTCTCTGGAGGCCTCCTGCAGCTGGTGTTGCCAGGGAGGGACTAGGGGGGCCTCTCCACCTTATGGTCCCTTGCCCTCCACAGGGCACAGCCCATCCCAGCCCAGACTGGAAGATGAGATTGACTTCCTGGCCCAGGAGCTAGCCGGGCAGGAGGCAGGGCCCTGGAGGCTCACAGCCCTGCCCCAGCCTGAGGGGCCCCATCGGTTTCTGGAGCCTGGTGAGACCCGGCCTATTCCCCTACCTGGCATGTCTCCCCATCTCCCTGACCCGGGCCTGGTCCTTCTCTTATAACTTGCCTTCTCTCTGCAGCAGCCACCCTGGGGCTCTCAGAGCGAGGCCAGGGCCAGGACCTGGGCCTCCCCTCCACTCAGGGAGTCCCTGCGCCCACGCCCCGCACCACCTTGGGCTCCCCTGTGTCATCTGGGCCGGTGCACATGTCCCCCCTGAAGTCCCGGGGCGGGCGCGGTGACGGCCTCGCCCTCGGTAGGTCTGGGCGGGCGGGGTGGTAGGGTCCTGGCTGGAAGCCCGCCCTCACCCTCACCGCGCCACTCTCCGCAGTGTTCATCGTGGCGTGCTCTGTGGCTGGCGTGGCCACCCTCGCTGTGGCCGCTCTCTGCTGGTACAGGTGAGCGTGGGGAAGGCGGGAGGGTGGGCGAGCCGGCGGTGACCCGGCGGGTCTCAGGCTCTGCTCCCGCAGGCTGCAGCGAGACATCCGCCTGACCCAGAAGGCTGACTACACGGCTCCGCAGGCGCCCGCGTCCCCCGCAACTCCCGGGATCTCGGTGCGTCGCCCGCCCCGCGCGCCCTCTGTAGCGCTGTCCCTAGTCGCCGCGCGTCTTGACGCTCCCTTCCGCTCCCCGCAGCAGCCCGGAGACCAGCGGCTGGCGCACAGCGCCGAGATGTACCACTACCAGCACCAGAGACAGCAAATGCGGTGTCTGGAGCGGTGAGCTGCCCCACCTACTACCCCCGGCCCCTTCGCCCCCACTCCTGGGCCCCACCGACCACAGCGAGGCTCGGGTGGAGGGCTGCTGAGCACCCACTTCCAGGCTGGGCCCCTGGCACCTGGAGGGTGTGGGAGGACCCAGCGATCCCGCCCCCGCCCCCCCCCCCCCCCAGGCATAAAGAGCCGCCCAAGGAGCTGGACTCAGCCTCCTCGGACGAGGAGAACGAAGATGGCGACTTCACAGTGTATGAGTGCCCGGGCCTGGCCCCGGTGAGTGCTGGGGGGGCCGGCGAGTGCCGTGGGGGCGGGGGACTTACCAGTTCCTGGGGGCTTTCTCCCCAGGTGGGTGCCCTGCCCCCACCTGGCCACCCTGCTGCCTGCCCCTCCCCCTGGGCTTGCCTAACGCCCGTCTTCGCAGACCGGAGAGATGGAAGTGCGGAACCCGCTGTTCGACCACTCCTCACTGTCGGCCCCTCTGCCGACCCCACCGCAGTGACCCTGAGGCTGACGCCCACCCTCTTGAGGACCCTGCGGCCCGCGGGTGGGAGGGCAGGTACCGGCGTTTCCCAATAAAGAGACTGCGTTCTGACACTCGGTTGTGCTTGTGGCTGGGCCTCGGCACCAGCCTGGAACCCCTTTGTGGGGGACAGGGGACCTTTCGTTCCTCCTTGAACCTGTCCTCTTTGAGTCTTGACCCCCAGAGAAGGGAATGGGGAGAACCCTAGAGACCAGGCATGGACAGGGATACTGGAGACAAGCCAGTTAAAGTACATTTCAAATCTGGGCCCTGGTGTGCTGGAGACGGGCCCACCTGCCCTGCTTTTGGGGCTCTGGTGGATGGCCGCTGGAGTGGGGGCCTAAGGGTTCCAACCACAACCCCAGAGAGAGGGGGCACCTCTGCTCTGCTTGGGAAACCCTCACTGCCTGCTGGGGAAGGGGGGCTTTAGTTTCCTACAGACACAGAGGACCACCCTGCACCCTCTTCCTCCAGGCCTCACCCCTACTCACACTGCCCCCAGTGGGACAGTGGAGGGGTGCAATGCAGGGCCAGGCCGGTCTGGAGTTGGTGCCACCCCCTGAGTGACCCATCCCATGTGTGATAAAAAGGGTTGGGGTGCCCACAGACACCTGGCAGTGGGCACCCAGTGCCCCATTCCTGCCCGTTGTCCACCTGGGCCGGAAGGCGGGGAAAAACAGGATGTGAGCCTTGGGTGTGGCAGCTCTGGTGCCCACACAGGCCCCTGGGCCCCTGCAGCCTACGTGGAGCAGGCTGCCAGGCATAGGGACCCGAGGGACACCAGGGTGGGCTGGTGCAAGAGAGGTGGTGGGGACACCAAATGTCAGGAGCAGGGTCTTGGCCCCCCCCAACCCCCCTACTGAGGAGCAAGGAGGTTTGGGGAAGGTGGGGGGGTCGTACTTCATGGTGAAAAGTGCTGAGCTGGCCTGGGACAGGGGCTCCTGGGGGTGAGGGATCAGACCTGTGTGCCCTACCAAGGCTGGGGAGGTGGAAACATTGGGTTCAGAAGCTCCTCAGCGGTTCCTGAGGGTGGCTCTCAGATGATGAGGGCAGCCCTGCATGGGACAGACAGTTACCTGAGGAGAGACAGGTGGGGCCTGGGAATCCAAGTTGGGCCTGCTTGGGTCTAAAAGCAGCGGTTCTCAACCTTCCTAATGCCACGACCCCTTAATACAGCTCCTCATGTTGTGGTGACCCCCAACCATAAAATTATTTTTGTTGCTACTCTATAACTGTAATTTTGCTACTGTTATGAATCGTAATGTAAGTATCTTTTCGCTTTCCGATGGTCTTAGGCGACCCCTGTGAAAGGGTCATTCGATCCCCAAAGGGGTCGCAACCCTCAGGTTGAGAACTGCTGGACTCTAAAGGCTTGTCCTAAAGCAGCACATTTCTGGGGCTAGATCCCATCTAAGCTGGAAAGTCCCTTCCCCTGCCTGCCTGGACTCCAGGTCTGTGGCCTTGGGCTGGCCCTCCGCTGGGAGCCTGTCCCATTGTGCAGGGTGTGGGAGGTGGAAGGTGGAAGGGGGAAGGGGGCGTGTGCAGGCAGCTGGGAATCCGTGTGGGATGAGGGCAGGCTGATAAGGATTGCATACCCACTGTCATTTCATCCGAGCCGTTAGGAGACAGCCATGGAGAAAGCAGGTGCAGAGACATTAAGGCCTCACTCGTGGGCGGCCTGGCACCCAACTGGGTCTGGTCCAGACCAGTCTGCCTCTCTAGCTTTACCCTGCAGACCCAGGACCAGGAGGTTCCCCTGGAGCTCTGGGCTCAGTCCCTGGGGTCCTGACGCTCACCTTTCCAACCTCCTGCTGGCCTGACCGGGGCAGAAAGCGGTCACTGGTGTACCCTGTCTTTTCTACCTTCTTGGGGCTCTGTTCCCACTGCCCAGGGCCCCAGTGAAGAGGGTCCCCCTTCTAGTGGCAGCTGCAATGAGAGGGGAGCCGGCAGGCCTGGGCCAAGGAAGGGAGGGCAGAGGGCCGGGGTCGTCCGGGAAGTGGGGCCTCCCTCGGCTCGCTTGCCCGGCACAGCGCCTTGAGCAGCTCAGCACCCCACTGCCCCCCTGGCTCCTGTGACTTCTGTTGGCCCTAGGCTTGCTCAGACAAAACCAGCCCCTGCTTCTGTCCAAACTCCTACAACCCTCTTTCTCCAAGCCCCAGGGTGTGGTGGGCTGCCCTAGGGCCAGGGCTTAAGACCCAGGGAGGCACTGGCTCCATAGGGACTCTGGAGACCCCAGTCCTCAGCACGTCTGATCCTGAGTCTCCCAGGTGTACAGCACACAGGAGTGGGTCTTGGGTCTCAGTGCAGAACAGAAGGGGTGAGTCAAACGTGGGAATAGTGCGTAGGTCCCTGGAGGAGCCGCCAGCAGATCCTGGAGCGCCTCCTGTACCCGGATGTGGGTGTGCCTCCAGCCTGGGCTGGAAGGGAGAGGAGTAGGAGGGGGGCTAGCTGGCTGCGGGCGCATCTGTGCCTTTGAGGTGGTCCAACTCATGGCCCCTCCTACTGCCTGCTGCGGCTGGCTCCCGACACCACCCTACTGCTGCCCCCTTGACTGCACCCCAACCTGGGGGCCCCCTGGGCACCTGCCAGCTTCTGTGCACCCACCTTTTCAAAGAGGTACCCTGAACTGTCCATACCCTCTTGAGAATAAATTGCGTTCTGGCTCCCTCTGCTGCTTTCACCCCTTGGCAGCCAGGTGGCTCTGGAGCATGGCCACCAGGGGGCCTTCAGGTCTGGTGTCTGGGCTCTGCCCTGCTTAGGCCATCCCTTGGAGGGCAGCTAGGCTCTGGCCTTCTCTCCCTGAGGCGCCCCTTAGTCTGGGCTGGGTGGCCTCCTTCCTGCTGCTCAAGGTGCTGTCACATGCAAGGGGCAATGACCGGGAAGCTAGCTACCTGCCCTCCGTCCTGGCACAACCCCTGGTTTTGACTTTAATTGGTGCCCATTGGGAGGCTGGCCTGGAGCAGGCCCGAGGGCTCAGCTGCGGGAATGACAGCATGTTCCTGATTCTGAGATGCTCATGGGCTGTTGAGCTGGACTTGGGTGCCGGCCTGCATCCCACTGAGTCACGATGCCCAGGGATGAGATGGCAGGATGAGGCCCCCCATTTTCCCTTTGAGTCATTCTCTCTCACCTCTTACCTCTGAGAGCCTCTCATTCTGACCCATTTCTGGGCCAAACTCGGAGCCCCATTTCCCAGCCAGCAGCTTCCCACGACTGGGGCCCTGTGGCTGCCAACCTGAGCTGGCAGGCTGTGCTGGGGGAGCCGCCAAGCCAGGGCAGAGGCGCGGAGGTTCCTTCGAATCCACCCAGGAAGGGAGCAGGCTGCGGGTGTGGGTGAGGTCTGTGGCAGGGGCCCGGGCCAGCCTGGCCGTACAAACAGGAAGGGCAGAGGTGCTGGCAGCTAGAAGCCAGGTCGCTCACAGGCTGCGGAAGGATCAACTCCTTCCTGTGTGCCCCCGCCCTCCGCTGGGTGCCTGCCACAGGGAGAGCAGGTGGGCTGAAGCAGGCCTGAAGCAGGGTGTGGCTCCTCTGGGGCCCCCCTGCCAGGAAAGAGATGCCAGGGTGGGGCCAAAGGCCCAGTGCCACCACGATCACCTCCCCAAACATTGGGGTGGCTGGAAGGGTGGGGGCTGGTGACAGTCACCTGCTCTGGTCAGGCCCTCACGCTGACCAGTGGGATCCAGGCCTGGCTGCTGCTTCTATGCCTTGGGTCTGCCAGATGGTTTCCGACAGATCCCACAGCCCTGCCTCCCTCCTTCGCTATTGCTCAAGGCCCCACCGCAGCTCAGAGGCTCTGTAGGGGGTGGGGAGCCTCAGAGGGGCCAAACTGCCCCCGTCTCCTGCACTTGCCTCTGTCCCCCATGGGCCTGCTGCCAGCTCCCAGGTTCCCGCCCTGATGGCAGTCTGGTCCTCACTAGGGGGCAGGAGCTGGAGGAGGCCAGCTGCCCTGAGGAGGGCAGGACAGAGAAGGCAGGGCAGAGGGAGGCCCACAGGATGGCATGGGTGGCAGACCTGGCCAACGGTTCCTGGTTGCTGTTCCTTTTATGACATCTGGCCCGTAGCCTCCAAGAACCTCACCAGCCTGAGGCCTCCAGGACGCTAAGCGTGCAGGCTGGGATCTGCCCTGCCATTTTCAGGACCAAGCAAGAGTCCAGCTGCGGAGAAGGAAGCTAACGGAACACCGTCTCGGCTGAGAGTGGGGTGCAGGTTGGAGATAAGGGAAGCCTGACTGTGCTTGCTGGCCACATCTCTAGCTCAGAAAAACTAGATCAAAAAGGGAAGGAACTGGACCTCCAGGCCATGGCCTCCGGGCTGGCTGGAGCGGGGGGGAGGGGGGGGGGACTCTGGACTTTAGCCTTCCTTTTCCTGGAGCGGGAGCCAGCCCCCTGCCCGCCCGCGTCAGGGACACAAAGACTCCTTCCCTTTCCAGCTTGGAAAGCCCCCTCCCACCCTCATCCTGGGCTGTGGGGCCTGGAGGAAGAGACCTGGAGCCCCCAAGGGCAGCCCTCCCACCCCAAGTCCTGCCCATCAGCAGCTCTTCCCAGCCCGGCCAGGACTCTGGGCCTACCCCCAGTCTGGGACTTCTACGGACATGTGGCCTGGAACAGGGAAAGAAGGCCCTGCGGCTGCCCACTGTGGACATGTGCCAGAGCCTTGTGTGGACAGACACTCCTAGGACCCCGGGAATCTGGGTTCTGGCACAAGGTGTCCTAGAGGGCAGGGGTGGGGTGGGGTGGCCCAGTTAGAAGCAATGGGAGAAAGCTCAGCCTCCTGGCAGAGCTGAGCACAGCACATCTGCAGCATGAGGGGCTGGGAACCCACGGTGGAGCTGACAGCTGGTGAGCAAGGGAAGTAGGTGATGCCACACTGGGAGGGCTGGCGTTGGCCTGCAGCTCAGTGTGTCGTGGTGTCCAAGGGAAGCACGTCCACGGGCCCAGGTCTGGGTCCTCAATGTCCGGGAGCCCTCTGGGGAGGGGCTGCCTCCAGCCAGGATGGCCTCCCCTTCCCTGAGGCTCAGTGGCCCCGCTCCCTCCCCTGTCTCTTGTGCCTGCCCAGAGGCCAGCAGGGGTAGGGGGCATGGAAGTGGGCACAACTTGGCGCCCCTCCTGTAACTGCCTCCCCCAGCAGCCAGAGGACTAGAGGGAGGCGGGGTGAGGGTGGTGGTTCATGTCAAAGGTCACCTCCAGGGCGGGGGCAGGGGCGGGGCAGGGGTGGGAAGGTACCCTGGTTTCCCTCATCCTGGGCAGATGAAAGAAGTGTGCTTCCAGGTGGGGTTGGGTGCAGCACGCAGCTGTGATTTCAGGGTGCCTCTGCCTGGTGGCTGCCGTGATTTGAAAGCCTGGGGTTTCTTGGGTGCCTGATTCTGGGAGCTGCAGATGAATAATGCCGGTAAGTGTCTGGTGTTCAGGGAGGCTCGGGCTGGGAGGATGGGCTGTGGGTGAGCCCCGGGAGATAGCCTCTCTTCCTGTGTCCTGCGTAGGGCGTGGCTCCACCCAGAAGCTCCGAGCCCTGTGGGGCCTGGCCGGGGTGGCCCTGCTCACGGTCCTCTGGCTGCTGTGGCTACTCCGCTGGGCCCCTGGGGCAGTCCCGGAACCCCAGTCCACACTCACCATCCTCATCTGGCACTGGCCCTTTGCCAACCAGCCCCCGGAGCTGCCCAGCAACACCTGCAGCAGATACGGCGTGGCCCACTGCCACCTGAGCACCAACCGCAGCCTGCTGGCCACTGCAGATGCAGTGGTATTCCACCATCGCGAGCTGCAGACCCAAAAGATCCGCCTGCCCCTGGCTGAGCGGCCACATGGGCAGCCCTGGGTGTGGGTCTCCATGGAGTCGCCCAGCCACACTCATGGCCTCGGCCGCTTCCAGGGCGTCTTCAACTGGGTGCTCAGCTACCGCCGCGACTCAGACATCTTCATGCCCTATGGTTGCCTGGAGCCCCATGAGGGGCCTGCACCGCCGCTGCCGGCCAAGAACGGGGTGGCCGTCTGGGTGGTCAGCAACTTCCAGAAGAGGCAGCGGCGCGTGCAGTTGTACCAGCAGCTGGCACCTCACCTGCGGGTGGACATGTTTGGCCATGCCAACAGGCGGCCACTGTGCACCAACTGCCTGCTGCCCACTGTGGCCCGGTACCTCTTCTACCTGGCCTTTGAGAACTCGCAGCACCCAGACTACATCACTGAAAAGTTCTGGCACAACGCACTGGCGGCCGGCACCGTGCCGGTGGTGTTGGGGCCCCCCAGGGCCACCTACGAGGCCTTCGTACCACCTGACGCCTTCGTGCATGTGGACGACTTTGGCTCGGCCCAAGAGCTGGCTGCCTTCCTCACCGGCATGAACGAGAGTCAGTATCGGAGCTACTTTGCCTGGCGACATCGGTTCCGTGTGCGGCGGTTAGTCGACTGGCAGGAGCGCTTCTGTGCCATCTGTGCCCGCTACCCCCACCTGCCCCGGGACCAGGTCTACCAGGACCTCCAGGGCTGGTTCCAGGCCAGAACTCCGCAGGCAGGGGAGGCGAGGCTGGCTGGGTGCGGGCGGTGTGGGTCGACAGCTGGGTGTTGAAATCAAACCACCAGGCATCCGGCTCCCCAGGCAGCCATCAGGCTAATGTGGAGGTGGGGGTGGGAGGCCAGGAGCAGAATGGGGGAGGAATGGGCGGGTCTGGGCAGGCTGCCTGGAGGAAGAGGCTGGTGGGCATTGGGGCAGGCATTTGGGGGTGGAGGTGAGAGCAGGGAGGGAGTTAATGGGGGTGCATGTTGCTGAGGCCCATTGAAGACCAGAGGCTGCTAAGGCCCTCCCTCCCGACCTTGATCAAATCTTGGGTGGGTCAAGGCTGAACCCTTGATGTGGGCATGTGAGGATGTGGGGCTGAGACAGGCTAGAGGCAGGGCCCTTGGGGCTGAAGACATGCCATCCTGTGGTTTGTGGGGACAAACCCTGGGTCCCCCGAGCCTCCTCTGCACCCAAGGTCCCAGGATGTGCAGTCACGCCGTCCACCCCACCCATAGTTCTGGAGCTCCAGTGTGCCGGTCTGTGTAGGCTGGGGCCCTGGGCTGAGGGAGCCAGGTGGTCCTTACAGCTATCTCCACGACCGCACCCCCCCACCCCCACACTAATTTCTGACCTAATGAGGTCTTGTGGGAGTGTCTCGGAACAATGAGACCTGTGTGGAATGATATCCGTTATCTCCCTTTATTTGCATAGGGTGGGACACAATGGCGCTGTCCTGGGGGCTGTGCAGGCTGTGTGAAGGCACAGTACATGTTGGAATACAGTGGGAGCTGGTTAATGGAAAACAGCCTTAAGGCACGTAGCACATGGGTCTTCGAGTAATCCAATTTCACTTCCTTTGAAATTTTCTCAATAAAAGCCAAAAGAAGACCCGATTCGGGGCTCAGTCTTACAGGCTGAGCTCTGCCCACTCCCCTTGGTCTCGTTCCTATCTGACTTTTGTCTCATGAGTACTTATTCAATCTGCGTCTCCCCTCTCGTGTCCCATTTGTGTGGCAAGGGACGCTAAACATGACATCTGGCGCCCAACTGTGGGAGCTCAAAGAAAGGAAGGCGGACTACAAATCTTCACCACGGATTTCATGGCGCAGACCCCAGGATGGGCTGGCACTCTACTTGGTGAGAAGTAGGGAAAAGTCCTGAGGAATTTTACCGGGGCAACCGGAAAATAACTTAACATCTTTTGTATGAGAGTGTGAATGTGTGAGTGATTGATTATAGTTTCAAGACTATTAATAGTCGCGAAGCTTATGTGGGCTCTACTCTGCGGTTCCGTAATCTGTCATAAGGCATAACGGCGACTGATAATAGTGTCTTCGGGCACTTGTTCACCAGTTCGGGGGCTTATACTGAAGTGCCTTCAGCCAAGACAGACTTAGTCCTGCGAGGGACGCGGCCAGACGAGCATCTGAGAGTAAAATTGAGTGAAAGTTCTATCTTCCTTATCTACTAACATGGGAAATACTGAGAGTCGTTACAGACCTTATATTTGTCTCCTTAAACAGCTCTTAAAGAAAGGAGGGATAAAAGTCTCAGAAAAGAAATTAGAGGAACTTTTAAAAGTTATTGAGACCCATTGTACTTGGTTTCCAGACTTAGAGACTGTAGATTTAGATCAGTGGGACATGATAGGTAATGATCTTAGTGAAAAACAACTTCGAGGAGATAAGTTACCAACTTCAATTTGGGAAACTTGGAGACGGGTCCGGTCAGTTTTAGAACCTTTAAATACTGACACGGAAGAAGAAGAGGATTCTTTAGATAAAGAAGAGGATTCTTTAGAAGCTCCTACAATAATTCCTAAAACATTATACCCTTCTTTGGAGGGTGGTCTACAGCAATCTAGCCATTTGCCCCCACCACCAGTAACTAGAATGAAAGACTGGGGGTTAAATAAAAAACCACCAAAACCTAAACATCCAGTATCTCCCACTACGCAAGCGCCTCCTTATGCTCGAGGTCCACATTTGTCACTGTCAGCTATAGAAAGAGGCTAGGTTAGAAGGAGATTTGGACGCTTTGAACTTTCCAGTAATAATTCGGGAGCGTATAGCACCCAATGATGAATATCCAAATGGTATGCATGTGTTAGAACATGAACCTTTTCCTTTTAAAATTCTTAAAGAACTTAAACAGGCAGTTACTCAATTTGGTCCAACTTTTCCCTATACCATAGGATTGGTTAGAGGTATTGCTGACAGAAACAGGATGATACCAATAGATTGGAATGCTCTAGCCAAAACTTGCCTTTCGCCATCTCAATTTTTGCAATTTAAAACTTGGTGGATCGATGGTGCAGACATTCAGGGCAGACATAATCAGGCTGGTGAAATTAATATCACTAAAGATCAGTTACTGGGTGAAGGAGAATGGACAGATCCTCAGAATCAGGTCACTATGAGTCGTCAAGCACAAGACCAGCTTAAAAGAATCTGTTTGATGGCATGGGAAAAAATAGAAATGGAAGGAAAAGCTCCAATTTCCTTTCAAAATGTATTTCAAGGACCTCAGGAGCCTTATTCAGAGTTCATAGCTCGTTTACAGGATACTATTAAGAAACAGGTGTCCAACGCTCAAGCGGCCGATATAATTCTACAAATCATGGCCTATGATAATGCTAATGAGGATTGTAAAAAGGCAATTGGAGCTCAAAAAGGAAAGACAGATGCGATGGGGTACCTTCGCTTATGCCAAGGGGTAGGGACTGAACAATTTAAAGCCACCATGTTAGCTCAAGCTATTACAGGAATGACTATGGGAAAAAATAAATTTGCTGGCACTTGCTATAATTGTGGAAAACCTGGTCACACAAAAAAGAAATACAGAAAGAAAAAAATGCCTCCCATATGCCTAATTCTGCTCCTGCAGAATCTAAGCCACCTGGAGTATGTCCTAGGTGCCAAAAAGGGAGACACTGGGCATCTGAATGTAGATCAGTTTTTCATAAGGATGGAACTCCCCTTCAGGGAAACGGAAAAAGGGGCCAGCCCCAGACCCCGACAACAATGGGGGCATATGTAACACCAGCCGTTCCTCAGAATTACCAAACAATGCCTCCCCCAAACTTTCAGTGCAGCAATTAAGCCCAGCAACAGAAGGGAGTGCAGTGGTAGATGTCTGCACCACTCAAGACATTTTACTGCTTCCAGGAGAAACACCTCTTCGTGTACCCATGGGGATTTTTGGGCCACTTCCACCCGATACTGTTGGACTTCTCCAACAGTTGGTCGTTCTAGCTTAACCTCCAAAGGAGTAACAGTCCATACAGGTATTATTGATTCAGATTATAAAGGAGAAATTCAAATTATAATGTCTTCCACAGTTCCTTGGTCTGCTAAGAAAGGAGAGCGGATTGCACAGCTACTTCTGCTCCCGTGTGTCCTCCCAGGAAAAAGGGGACACAAAAAAGGGGAACTGGAAGTTTTGGAAGTACAGGACAGGCAGGTATTTTTCTAGCTGAGAAAATCTCCAAAATTCGTCCTGTGTGTCAAATTGAAATTCAAGGAAAGAAATGTAATGGTCTTTTAGATACTGGAGCTGATGTTTCTATTATCAGTTCTCAAGAATGGCCAAAAAATTGGGAAGTACAAGAACCTAACATTAATATTGTTGGAGTAGGAAGAGCTTCAGGCTTACGCCAGAGTGTTTGCATTTTTCCTTGCACAGGACCGGAGGGGCAACAGGGATTTTTGCAACCTTATGTTGCTGATATTACCATCAATTTATGGGGTAGTGATTTGCTAACCCAATGGGAAGCAGAAGTTTGGATCCCTCCTGGACTGTATAGTCCTCAGAGTCAAAAGATGATGAGTCAGATGGGATTTCAACCTGGAAAAGGGTTAGGAAGATTCAATCAGGGAATCACTCAGCCTGTCCAACCCTCACCTCAGCAGGGAAGAGAAGGCTAGGCTATCAGACCAACCATAATAACCCTTTTTTATAGGGGCCGCTGTTGAAGAGCTATGAGCTCCTGTGCCTCTCAAATGGAAGAATAACACCCCTCTATGGATTGAACAGTGGCCCCTCCCTCAAGAAAAATTAGAGGCTTTAACAAAATTAGTACAGATTCAGTTAGCGCAAGACCATATAGAACCTTCTACTAGTCCTTGGAATTCTCCAGTATTTGTCATCAAAAAGAAATCAGGAAAATGGCGAATGTTAACTGACCTTCGCGCTGTTAATGCAGTCATTGAACCTGTGGGTGCCGTGCAACCTGGACTTCCTCAACCCTCTATGATTCCAAAAGATTGGCCTCTTATAGTTATTGATTTACAGGATTGTTTATATACAATCCCTTTACACCCTCAAGATTGTCCACGATTTTCGTTTTCTATTTCCTCAATTAACAATAAAAAACCAATTCAAAGATATCAGTGGAAGGTACTTCCACAAGGAATGCTTAACAGCCCGACCATCTGTCAGCTTTATGTAGCTCGAGCTCTTACTCGACTAAGAACCAAGTTTTCTAACTGTTATATCATTCACTATATGGATGATATCCTCTGTGCTGCATCTTCCATGGAGCAGTTAACAGCATGCTTTGAATTGCTTAAAAATCAGCTTGATTCAGCAGGACTTTGCATTGCTCCAGATAAAATTCAAACAACCAAGCCAGTAGAATACTTAGGAGTGGAGGTTGATAGACAGACTATTAGACCTCAAAAGGTTCAAATTAGAAGAGATCAGATTTCTACCTTAAACACTTACAAAAATTACTGGGAGACATCAATTGGCTACGACCCACTTTGGGCATTCCTACTTATGCTCTTAGTAATTTGTTTAGTCTTTTGCGAGGACCCTCACAACTTGATAGCCCTCGTAAACTGACTTCCCAAGCAATTAAGGAATTAGAGTTAGTTGAACAAAAAATACAGAAAGCTCAGAAACAATGTGTAGATCCTTCTCAGCCTTTTCAGGGTCTGCTTTTTTCCACGCCACATTCACCTACAGCAGTTATAGTATAACAAAATAATTTGGTTGAGTGGCTTTTTCTGCCTAATAATTTTGTTAAGTCTCTTCCAACTTATGTGGACCTAGTCTCTGAATTAATATCAAAAGCTCGTACCAGAGTTTTACATCTCAGTGGACAAGAACCTAATCAGATAGTGGTTCCCTTTAAAAAACAACAAATTTCTCATCTCAACATTCATGATGAATCTTGGCAGGTTGCCATTGGTGATATTTGTGGTATTATTGATAACCATTATCCTAAAAATAAATTGTTTTAGTTTTTACAAAAAACTAATTGGATTTTATCTAAAAAGTTCCGACAGGAGCCCATCCTCCAGGGAGTTACAGTTTTTACTGATGGATCTAGCAGTGGCAAGGCAGCAATTGTTAGTGAAAAAGGACGCCAACTGGTACAAACTAACTGTACCTCAGCACAAAGAGCTGAACTTGTGGCTGTTTTAACCGCATTCCAAAATTATTCTGACCCTTTAAATATTGTTTCTGATTCGGCTTATGTTGTTCATACAGTACAGAACATTGAGATGGCATCCTTGTCATATAATTCAAATCCGTCTCTTCAAATTATATTTAATCAACTCCAGCAAGTTGTGAGAAACCGTCAAAATCCATTTTTTATTACTCACATCCGCATTCACACGGCCCTCCCAGGTCAGATGACGTGTGGTAATGCTATTTGCAGATTCCCTAGTAGGGAGCGCTCAGGTTGCTGAAGCAACCCACTTTCACTCCCTGACCCAGACCAATGCTGGCGGTCTCCGGTCTCGATTTCCAATTACTTACAAACAGGCCAGACATATTGTTCAAACCTGTCCAACTTGTCAAATTCTTAATGCTCCACAGGAATGTCCTAAAGAAGTAAACCCTAGAGGTCTTAACCCTAATGATATCTGGCAAATGGATGTAACTCACATCCCGACCTTTGGACGTTTATCATTTGTGTACGTTTCTGTTGATACCACCTGGGCTTTCTTGTAGCAACTGCCCAAACGGGAAAAACCGCCGGCACATTCCTGCCGCCATCTGCTTGTCTGTTTTCTATCATGGGCCTTCCTAAAACTATTAAAACAGACAATGGGCCTGCTTACATCAGTTCTAAGTTTGCAAATTTCTGTGCTACTTGGCGAATTACCCATAATACTGGAATTCCTTATAACTCACAGGGCCAAGCCATTGTAGAACGTGCTAATTCCACCTTGAAAAAACAATTACAAAAACAGAAAGGGGGAGACATGAAAGAAACTCCTCAGGTGCAATTAGCAAGAGCCATGTTTACTTTAAATTTTTTTAATTCATCTGGTTCAAGTACAGAACCACACCTTGGGTGAACTGCAGCAGAAAGACATTTTAATAACAGCCCAAGAAAATTAAAAAATGTTCCCATATGGTGGAAAGATATTCAAACCAATCAATGGAATTTGGGGACTCTGTTGACATGGGGACGAGGTTTTGCTTGTATTTCTCCAGGTGCTGAAGAACATCCTTTGTGGGTACCTGGCCAGTGTGTCAAACCTTATCATGAGCGACACGCCCAAGAAAAGAAAGTCAATATGGCAGAAGATTGCAAGATATGATTGGCCTCCTAATTGGCCTGTAGTGGAGGATACTCGACCTTCGGCACCTCCAATGATTGTGATATCTAATCTCTCACTTCAACCAGCCCACCCAAGGCCAACAGCTCCTTCAGCTTTTCTTGTAATTACTATCTTACATAGAACTGAAAGGTTTATTGGCCTTTTGATAGCAGCAATAATGGGTATAATAGCTATAACCACTGTTGCTGCTGTCTCTGGAGTGGCTCTTCACCAAATGGTGCAGACTATTCAATTTGTACAATAATGGCATGAAAATGCAAGTAAAACTTGGAGTCAGCAATTGAGAATTGATCAAGAGATCAGCATACGTTTGGCTAACTTAGAAACAACTGTTGTTTCTCTTGATGATCAATTGGAAAGTCTCCGGACTATGATCACTTTAAAGTGTGATTGGAATGTTTCCACTTACTGTGTAACTCCTTTTTCTTACAACCAGACATGTACCCCATGGTCTGAGGTACGAGCTCATCTTTTGGGACATGTGCCCAACCTGACTGTAGATATTCTGCAGTTGCAACAAGAAGTGGATCAGATGTCATCTGCGAATCTCCAGCTCCTCCGGGAGAGGATGCCCTTTCCGCGGCTGCGGAAGGATTGTCTACTCTGAACCCACTCACATGGATGAAAAACCTCGGTGAAGGTTTTGCTGGTGCTTTTGCACTCCTATATAATCATTCTGTTTCTGTTTTGTCTAGTCGTCCGGTGTGGACAGCAAACCCTCTGGCGGGCCATAGATGAAGAAACTGCAAAGTCCGTGTTTCTCCTTCTACAAAAACAGAAAGGGGGAGATGTTGCCTTACAGCTACCTCCACGACCGCCCCCCGCACTAATCCCTGACCTAACGAGGTTCTGAGGAAGTGTCTCGGAAAGCTGAGACCCGGTGGAATGATATCGGTCATCTCCCTTTATTTGTATAGGACGCGGCACAGTGGCACTGTCCTGGGGGCTGTGCAGGCTGTGTGAAGGCACAGTACATGTTGGAATACAGTGGGAGCTGGTTAATGGAAAACAGCCTTAAGGCACGTGACACACGAATCTTTGAATAATCCAGTTTCACTTCCTTTTAAATTTTCTCAATAAAAGCCAAACGAAGACCCGATTCGGGGCTCAGTCTTACAGGCTGAGCTCTGCCCACTCCCCTTGGTCTTGTTCCTATCTGACTTTTGTCTCATGAGTACTTATTTAATTTGCGTCGTCCCTCTCATGTCCCATTTGCCCTTGCCACGCTGGACGTGACAGCAGTCCACTTGGGGAGGGGCCACTGATCAATAAAGAAACGAAGGACAAGAGAGGCATGTGTCAAGTCTATGAGGCACAGGGCCCCACATATCTTCCCCCACCCCCGACCTGCTGCCATGTTGTCCTCCTGCCTTCCTGGCCACACAGGCCTCCTTGTCCTGATGGGACCTGCCTGCTCGACCTCAGAGCCATGCACTCCATCTGCCTGAGAGGCCCTCCCCCGCACTGCTCTGCCCACTCCCCCCACGAAATTGCACTGCATCAGAGAGCCTTCCCTGACCCCCAAAAGGCCGAGGGGGTGGACAGCACGTTGCAAGGTCAAAAACTTGGCTAGGGGGGTCAAAGGTGCCCCATCCTGAGGGCCCTGGGATCTCATTCTCAGGCTAGGTCTGCTTTGTGATGTGGGGCTCCCTCTGACGGTCGCTGGTGGCAGTGTGGGCAGTGAGGGGGCACCGAAAACGCTGCTGCTGCCAGGAAGCCCCTTGTGGTCGGTGGCCTGTGGGGTGAGAAGAAAGCCGGTGGTGAGCCTCTGGGGGTCGCTGACAGGGGCCCCAGCAGGCTGAGCACACGTGATAGAAGCGGGAGACTTGTCCCTGCCCTGGGTGGGGGTGGGCAGCAGGTAGAGGCAGGGAGCTGCCTTCCCTCTTGGCAGTGGCTTGTGGGAAAGGCCTGCCAGTGACTTCCTGCCCTGAGCTAACCCCATGTGCTGGTGCTGACTGGGGAGAAGGAAGTGTCCTCGGGCTGGGGAGCGGGGGCGGGGGAGGGGGTGCCCTGCCTAATTGGCCAGGACCCACACACACACTTCACAGAAAGAGCTGGGGGCGGGGGAAGCTGCGGCCCCCAAGGGTGCGCCGCCTATGTGCACCCCAGACACTGGACATCATACTGCCAACCGCTGCCCATTCACAAGTGGTGAAAGAGGCTGGCGAGGAGGTCTGAGAGCCACTCACCTGGCCTCCCTCCCGTTAGTGCAAGGGGCCGGCCAGTCCTCTGCTGCCCTCTGTTGGCCACCTTGGAATGGAAACCTCCCCACCCAGCTAAGGTCCCACCTCCCGTGTCCAGCAGCGGCCTCGCTCTAGCAGGCATCAAACCACCTATGCGGAACTCACTCGGCTCCAAACTCCCTGTGCAGAGGCCGGACTCACCTTCGGATATGGTGAGAAAAATCAGCCACACACAAAGGGGACAGCCTCAGTCTCCCCAAGCACCCTGCCTGCCCCTGCCTACAGGGAGCAGGTGGGCGGCCAGCATGCCCCTTCCCTCCTCCTGGTGCCCAGAGAGCGGCAGCCCTGGCAGAGCCCAGCCAGGCCCATCCTGCCATGTGGTCACCCAGTGGCTCATTCACAAGGGGCACAGGAAACTCGTACAGATGTGACATAGGCCACCTGCAGCCCCTCTCACCAGCCCCACCCCCGTAAAGAGGCGCGGGGCAGGAAGCTCCCGGGTGCGCAGAATGTTGACGCTGAGCCTTGAGGGCGGTGGCCGCGCTGCACAGGTGGGACGTCCAGCAGGGCTGAGCTCTCCCCAACCCAAGTGTGGAGGCCGCCCCTCCAGCCCTCAGGGACTGGGGCCTGGCTCTTAGGTCCTGCAGACATTCCTGCCACCAGTACTGAGAGGGAGGTGGGCGGCGGTGGTGACCTGGTAGGGGCCGAACCTCCCGCAGTATCCCCTCAGGGCGCCCTCGGGGCCAGCACCCACCTTGGGGCGCCTCTGTGGGAGGATTCCAACGGGGTGAGGGCTGCGCTCAGGCCTAGTGATCCTGGGACAAGAGTAACCTGGAAGGGGTGAGTCGGGGGTCTAGGTTTAGAAGTGGGCCGCCTGGGGGCGACTAGGCAGCCTCCCGCGGTGGGGTAGAGCGCCAGGATCCGCTGGGGCGGGGCGG